AAGCCAATCACACACACACCCCGCTCTGTGAAGGCAGCCAGCTCTCCATCTGGTCAGATGCCCGAGGGGCTTGGGACAGACTTGTCCTCAGTCCCTGGCCTCTCCAGACATTGCCAAGGGAGACAACACCTGCCATCCCTGTCGGACAGTCTCGGGTCCAACTTCTCCTCTTCCTCCTCCAAACCAGGACCCTGTTCATTACCAAGGCTTCCGAGACTGTAATTAAGCACATGCTCGGTTAAAACAATTCCTGTTTTATTTCAGTGTTGGGAATTAAGTTCATTCCCAGCTGGTAATGAGTCCCAAACAGTTGCTCGAGATAAGCACCCACCTTTCTTTCCTGTTGAAGTGCTGCCAACAACAGAAGTGCCAAATGAATTATAAAAAATCAACCGAAGTACAAAGTCCACACAGCTTCAAGGATTAATCTGAACAGAATGAACGACTTTGCTTCCTGCAAAGGTTTCTCTACCTTTGCCTGTCCTTTATACCTTATGGGAGGGGCCATCACCTCCCAGCCTTACTCCCGAGTCGCCCCTTTTGTCTCAGCTGCTCTTGCCTTCTAGCAGCTCTGTGCAAAAGCGCACTGGGAACAGGCTCCCTTTGTTCCTCGGCCTCACCGCTGCCAGACTCCGGAGGCTCCAGAGTCAGCACCCCACTCCCAGATGGTCCTGGCCCCATCTCTGCATCGGAGGCAGGACCCTCGTCCGAGTCCTCCCCAGACTCCCGGACTGGTCCCCGTTCTACCCAACTGTCCAATTCCGCTGCCGTCTGCACCGGCTGCCGGCGAACCACAACAGGCCCCGATGGGACCATGAGATCACTTGTTCCCCATGGATGATCCGTTCTGTGTGTCAGGATCAGCTGGTGCAAAACCGTCTGCAAAAGCTGGCGGGATTCCGGCAGGATTCACCTTCCCGGAGGCTCAAGGAAAGCCTCCGGAGCGTGGGGGGGGCAAAAACCCCCCCCCCCTTCCCACCATGGTGCAGGAGGCCGGCTAAGCCACACCCACCATGGCCACGCCCACCCAGCAACCAAGCAGAGGACCCTTTGCTAAAATTTTGGAAGCCCACCCCTGAATCCGAGGTACGAGCACCTTTCTCTTCCTGCCCCAAACACCCCACTATGCCTCCCCAGACATCGACGAGTGTGCCCGAGATCTTGACCTCTGCCAGCCGCACGGGGTGTGCGAGAACACCGAGGGCTCCTTCGTGTGCATGTGCGAGGAAGGATTCACGCTCGCCAAAGACCGGCAGAGCTGCGAAGGTAAAGCGGAGGGCGCGAAGGGGGTGGGTGGGTGAGGTGGGGACACCACCGGAGGTGAATTCCCGACAACGGAGTTGAACCTTTCCCCGCTGCAGAGCTGCCCCACCATAAAAAGGAGTGTTACCTGAACTTCGATGACAGCGTGTTTTGCGACAGTGTGCTGGCCACCAACGTGTCTCGCCAGGAGTGCTGCTGCTCCCTCGGGGCCGGCTGGGGAGATCACTGCGAGATCTACCCGTGTCCCGTTCTCAACTCGAGTAAGTTGGGCATCTCCTGGGTCCGATTCTCAGTAAATTTGAAAATTATCCTTGTATTATTGTACTAGCTGGATACCGGGGCTTCGCTACGAAACTATGTGGTTGGGCTTAGTTTTTGGGGAGGAAAATAGGGAAATAAAAATTCTGCCTCTGTCTACTAGCATCCATCAGTATTCATCTGGCTAGTGTGTGAGAAAGTTGAGGGCTGTTTGGAAACAAACAATATTTGCTGTGTGAGCAAGAAGGAGACAGCAAGGAGCCTGGGCGTGGCTTAGCTCAACTGTTGTGTACTAAAGCTGCTTGGTGCTGTGAAAGTAAAACCGAAACTGAAACTCCTCTCCTCTGCTTGTGTTTTGCATGTGGAAGAGATTTCTTTTCAGGTGGGGAGGGGGAGTAGAACTCCTTAGCATCAGAGCGTGTTAATAATAATAATAATTGTAATATAGGAAATGCTAATGCTCTGATGGTCATCTGGAAGAATCCTTTCTTAGTGAGCACCTAGAAGCCAAGAGGAACATAGGGGCCAAATTTCAAGTTTGTAGGCTTTACGGTTCCGGAGATGTTGTGATGATGCGTGAGGGGCCTTTCGCTTTTATAGAGAGAGAAGATTAAAAAAAGAAAAGAAAGTCATCCTTGTTCCAAACTCAGCTTGAAACAGAATGAGAGAATAACAGTTGGAAGGGACCTTTGAAGGTCTTCTAGTCCAACCCTCTCATCAGGCAGGAAGCCTGATACTATTTCAGACAAATGGCTGTCCAATCTCTTCTTAAAAACCACCAATGTTCGAGCATCCGTAACTTCTCAAGAGCTGTGGTGGCACAGTGGCTATCAATCCGAATAGAGCTGGAAGGGACCTTGGAGGTCTTCTAGTCCAGCCCCATGCTCAAGCAGAATGGTGACTTGACCTTCCCCTGTCTCTTCTTCCTTCCCTGGACCAGTTGAATTCCACACTCTGTGCCCAGATGGCAAAGGATTCATCCTGGATGAGACCATCCTGAACTACGGCATCCCAACGCATCGAGGTGCATTTTGGGGGGCGCTCGGCCCTGAAGTACGGAGGAGGGAGGCCTTGTGAGGCGGCCTTGGTGGGAGCAGAGGGGGGCAGCGTCTCCTCGCCCCCCTCCGGGGAAGCCGGACAAAGGGGAGCAGCTCTGGGTCTGGAGGTGCTTCTGGTCTTCTCGGCGTGGCCGTCAAAGCGGGATGTGGGGATGGTTACATCTCGGGGATGGCCATAAGACCCCTGTGCCATTTTGGCAACGTGGCATTTTGTTTAATGGCCTTCTCTTTCTCCTTCATCTCTTTCTCCTTCTACTCCTCTTCCTTCTCCTTCCATTCTTCCTTTTTCACCTCTGGCATCACTTTTTTCTTCTCTTCTTCCTCTCCTTCTTCTCTTCCTCCTCCATCTCCTTTCTCTTCTTCCTTCTCCTCTTTTCTCGTTTTCCATCTCTTCATCTCTCTTCGTCTTTTTTCTTCTCTTCCTTTCCTTCTCCTCTTCCTCCTCCATCCCCTTTCTCTTCTTCCTTCTCCTCCTCTTTTCTCGTTTTCCATCTCTTCATCTCTCTTGTCTTTTTTCTTCTCTTCTTCCCTTCCTCCTTCTTTATCTCCTTTCACGTATGTCTTCTCCTTCTCTTTTCTTGTTTTCCATTTATTTGTCTCCTTTTCCTCCTTCTCCATCTTCATATGTTTTCTTCCCTCCCTCTTTTCTCCTTTCCCTCCTCCTCCTCCTCTTCCTGCTCCTTCTTCACCTTCTTGGTTCCCATCTCTTCATCTCTCTTCTTCTTCCTTCTCAACCTCTGTCTTTTTTCTTCTCTTCTTCACTTCCACCTTCTCTTCCTTCTTTATCTCTTGTCTGTCTTCTCCTCTTCTCTTGTTTTCCATCTCTTTGTCTTTTTCCTCCTTTTCCACCATCTCTTTCCTTCTCTTCTTCCTTTCCTCCTCCTCCTCCTCCTCCTGTCCTCCTCTTCCTGTTCCTGCTCCTATCTCACTTCTTCTTCATTCCTTTCTTTTCTTCCTCCCCTGCTTTCTATCTCTTCCTCTTTCTTGTTCCCTCTCCTCTCCAGACATTGACGAATGCAGCCTGTTTGGCGAAGAGATCTGCAAGGAAGGGAAGTGTGTAAACACCCAGCCGGGCTACGAGTGTTACTGCAAGCAAGGCTTCTACTACGATGCCAACCTCTTGGAGTGTGTCGGTAGGAAGGGAAGCCCAGAACGGGGAATAATTTTGACCTCTGAGTAGCAACAGAGGAAGAGTCAGGCCATCAGAGCTGACTTGCCATTGTCAGGGTTCCGGCGATTGCCCTAATTAAATCATGAGACTCGAATCGAGCTTAAAAAAATTCAAAAGATTTATTAGGAGCAAATGAAGCCAACTCTGGCATACATAATTTACAGTCACCTGTGACTGTGTTTCTTCCCTCCCCCCTGGGTGTATCATAAATCAGATTCTCCAATGAAGCACCTTCACGGGCCGGGTGTCATCCATCACATTCTCCAATGAAGGATTTTCATGGGCAGAAGATCCGGTAGCCCAGCTACAATCTTTGTAGATAAGGGTGGGATGTACCTCTGGTTTTAAATTGCCGTGATGCTCCTTCAGATTCTCCCTTGTTTATGGCAACTCAAAAACAGGCATAGGAATGCTTTACGAGTTGCCAGCCATTCAGAAATGGGGGAGGGGGGGATTAGTAGATACCTAGGGAGAGGCATGCTGAGGAACGCATGTGAGCCTCCTGTGGCCTGAGAAAGTTGCAATGGTTGTTAAATATGAAAACTGGCCATAATTCACATTTTTCAGTGCCGTTGTATCTCCGAAGGGGCACTAAATTGAATGGTTATAAGTCGAGGATCACCTGTAATTCTAAAGGAGAAAGATGCTGTAATTCTAATTTGAGGCTTTGTGAATTAGCATTTGGGATCCCGGGCTTTTCTGGAGACTCCTGGCTGTGAGTTCCTACTCTCTCTCTTCTGTCCTAGATGTGGATGAGTGTTTGGACGAGTCCAACTGTGTGAATGGACGCTGCGAGAACACTCGGGGCAGTTTCCACTGTGCCTGCCCAGCCTCCACCACGTACGATCCGGCCCAGAAAAAGTGCATCCCAACCAGCAAAATTGGTGAGCGCTTGCTAAATGTTTTTAAGGGAGTATTTCTCAACTTTGCACACTTTAAGATGAGTGGACTTCAATTCCCAGAGTTCCCCACT